CTTTGACGTTCGATGACGTAAATTAGAAAAATCGAGGCGAGTTCGAGGTCAACGTGAAAAAACGAGAGGGGGGGAAAAAGGGAGAAAACCAATAGTAGTCGGAGTGGAGGTTGACTAGTCCCTCGTTATGTGACGCCCGTCGACTACTGCAACCAACCACGCCTGTAGGTTGGCAAACGACGGAGAAAGAAAAAAAACGAGGCAAGAAAGGAGTGGGGAACAGTTGGAAACTGATCGACGAATTAATGAGTATATGCCCTAGTTCGGAAGTGAGGAAAAAAGAAAAAAGAAAAAAAAAAAAGGAACTTTGGCGTATAATTGCTTGATCAGTAGACTTGGAAATTAACGGCTCGAGGGAAATTCCGTTTTATTGCTACCTCTACGGTTCGCTTGAATCCCTACGTACGCAGGAGTAATTTTTTCAAAATTGTTCAAGTCGTTGGAAGGACGATTTGGAAAGCCTCAGCCAGACACAAGAAACACAATCATCCAGACGAGTTAGTAAAACATATAAGCTCTGCCACCTCCAAATGTACAACTGTGCAAGTCGTGTGGCAGTTTGTGTAACAAATTAGCTCGTTTGAGAGAGCGAGAAAGAGAAATCAAGCGCGAGGAGTATACACGTAGGTATGGGAAAGGAGCGAAGGACTGAGTACATACGCTTGCTGGCTTTTATACAATTGTTGCACTTTGAATGTTGGGCGAGTACTTAGCGTGAAACCGGAAGCTATGCCTTCTGCCTTGTTGAACTTACGTCCACGTATATGTGCGCCCTTTGGTTGTAGGTATTTACAACCGAATGCAGGCCATGGTACGTAGTGCCTGCAGGAGATATTGGTGCTTGGACATCTAATAGAGCTGATTTACGTTACTCTGGATTTTAAATTATTCGTCGCTGTAAGTGGGAGCAGTGGAAGAGTTGAGAGTTTTTGGCTGTGTGATATTCAAACTGAGGATCGTAAACGCAAATTATTACAGACAGAGAATCATCAGGTAATAATAAAAAAAAGAAGACAATTCTAGTTGTTTGCTTCATCAAAGTTAATTCTGGTAACAATGAAATTTCGATTAAAACTTTTGGGATATTTTAGAGACTTAAGTATATGTCCCTAAAAAACTGAAGTACTTCCAGAAACAGTGTCTTGGTTTAAAAAATTAAGAAATATAAAACTAAGGTTTTTTTTAAAGCGTATACCTCTAGGTTGCTTAAGAGTGTGTATTCATGAATAGAATGAAACAAAAAATTTAAGCAACGATACAATTATTGTGTAAACACTGAATCGTAAATAAGAAGGTTAAACTCGTGTCTTTGTACTGTAGGACCCACAGCATCGTCTTTCCCAAAACCCAAGCCGCGAGAGACGCCCAAAAATCCTTAAAACACCAGAGTGACTTTTCCACGCGCGCGGACGTGTCACCCTCGCCACCAATCCCCGCAATCAAATTAACAATTAGAATTTACCGTGCCCTGTTCGCTCGCCCGCTCAAACTCGCTCGCACGCGCTCGAGCGCCCATCCAAATTAATTTAAACTTCCGAATACCGCGAAAACCGCGTCTCGCGACAGCCACCACCAGCACCCTAGTATATATACATGTATACGCATGCACGAGGAAGAGAGGTAACCTCGATGACCCGATTTAGACTACCTGCATGTGTATTGTATTTACAAGTGACGGCGTACACGTACACACGCGCTCCCCCGCCACCGTCTTTGATTTAGGCTCCAACGTGAAACTGCGACAAACTGCATTATATACCATGAGACGTTAATTCTCACGAGATCTACTGCCGAATGGGACACGGGCGTATCACCTTACGTACGCACACAGGGACGAAAATAGCGTATCATCGTGCATTGTGCGTCTCTCCTCTCCGCCATCCGAGTGGTGTTATTAGTGATTTAACGCGTCGGCGCGCAGCCTCCCCGCGATCCGCATAGCTTTGAATCCGATTTGCCGGCTAATGTAGCGTGTGTGGACCGATGCTTTTTATTGCCCTGGCTTCTACCACCGGCTCCCTCTTTTTGGATACACTGCGAGCCTCGGGGGAGTCTTACGAGGGTACACCGGGCGAGACTTATAGTGTATACAAATACTCGCGGGAAGTTTGGCATTGGCTGCTTTAATAGGCGGTGGAGCGCTGGAAAATAGCGATTCGTCGCAGAGCCGGGCTTTCGTGGCTTGCGGGGCGCAGTGATCTTGGATGAATGTGTTTCTTCGAAAGTTTTTCAGTTACCCGCCGTGAATTGTTCATTTGGGCGAAACGATTTCGATGGGTTTTTTTTTTTTTTTTTTTTTTTTAACAAAACAACAACAAACCAAACAAACAAAGGTATCGGGGATCACTGGAGTTATAAATGCTCAGAACAATTGTTCGTTTACAAAAAAAAGCATTCGATACTTAAAGGCTGTTCTTTTATTTACGACCGGATTGCTATCACGAGTTCGAGGAGTAATTGATTCGCATTTGTTTTATTCATCCGATGAAATTTTCGATTGGGCTCGACAATATTAAAATTGCATATGCCGTGAAGTGGATTGTGATAAATTGTCAAGCATCAGAGCATATTGTTTTGTTGACAAAAAACACTTTCTTTTTATTTGAATGTAGTTTTCATTCTTTGGAACCTTATAAGCTTTCTCTTAGTGATATTTGTATTCATTGTGCCCTATTAATTAAGACGTTTTTTTTTTTTTCTTGAAAGTCAATACAGAAAAGTTTATTTTATCATTACTGCATTCGTTAAAGGTATAAAGCTCCTTAATTATACGATATAAATATATTTCGAAGCTTTTAACTCTAACGATACTAGTTTCTGACTAAATCTGTCAAACTTTTTCATAAGTTCAGAAAAGAATACATATTATTCCTCCCGGATCCTCGCAAACCAAATTCGAAATTACCCTCCATCCTACGGCGACATAGGGCGCCGGAAACTGCTTTCATAGTTTAAAAAGTATCTCGTAACATGATTTTTTTTTTATAAAATAAAAATTCGATTGTAAATTTCTCGAATCGTTCAATCTGAGAAGGTTACAAAATAAATTCCTACTCGAGGGAATTAAAGAACTTTAATCTTATTTTCCACTAATTTGGCCATAATAACATTTAAGAAAATTCCCTTTGGAAAAGAAGATAACGAGTTTTTTACAGTTACAAAAAAACGTGTTAATTGTTGTATAAAAATAGCTTTACAGTTTTAACGTTTGAAAATATCTGACGATTGGAACACCAAATGACCACGCAATACCAAAAACCCGCAAATACAAAAAAAAACCAAGAATAAGAAAATGATGCACAGCCAGAGTCCAATGTCGTGCAATGCAGAGCTCTCCCACGGTGCCCACGGCGGCGTTTCTTACATCGACGAGTCTTCATACAAAGTTCCACCAGGGAAAGGATAATGACATTATTGCCGCTCGTGTAAAGCACAAAGGCGCCTTTTGTAGCTCCACCTTCCATCCTGACAACGTAAAATGAATGGGCCCACGACGCACGCACATACAGTAATACACGAGCAACTGGAGATGGAAGTATGTATATACAGAGCAAGCCGAATTCTCGCCATTTAGCCCGAACGCGCGCAACCTTGGGTGGCCCATTGTGTTTTGCTCGCCTGCCTGGCTGTTTCCATGCGAGCAGGACTCCCACCCACCCCCCTCGTCCCGGTTATCGTTCAAGTTGCAGCAACGGCAACGACTCTGTTAAACTGAATCCACCACATAGCCTCGTAATGCCAATTTCTTCTCCCCTTCGTCCCCCTCTACCAAACGACGACGATCCGCGATGATGCGCTTTTATCCTAACGCGCTGGAGAACGACTCCGCCCCCCCATTCCTCTAAGAACTTTGGCTCATCTCCTCGGGTTTCCTCTCTCGAATCGCTTTGGGATAGTACACAGCTCGAGACTGGCTGGTTGTTACGTCGCTTCCCCGGATTATGCGGCTCTGACCGCGAGCGCTGGACATCGGCGAAAAACGATACGGTATTATTATACCGGCGTACGGACCAGACGTCCTGGACTGAGGAGCGGTTAAGAAGTTTTGAAATGAATTTTATCAATTGCCGTGGTAACGTGTGTTGGCTTTATATTCTTTGGAAAAATGTACGCGTGAGTTTACTTATATCTTCCGACGATTCGAGGTGGAGCTTTTAATTGGAAATTTTAGTTTGATCGCGCTTGTATATGTTTCGAGCTGGTGTTTGAGTTGCAACGGCTTGCGCGGGTAATTTGCAGAAACTGGAGTATCTTCGGAGGGGAGGGCAAAAGTTTCGTGGGAATTGATTTCGCAACAGACTTTAAACTTTTGGAGTGCAACGCGCTTCCGCAAATTGGCTGGTTTCGGATTTTTTGGATTTTACACTTTTTCACGCAGAGAGCAGTGATTTTATCTGACAAGCAATGAAGCTATGTTTTGAATTGTATGTTTTCAGATGTTTAAAAAATCTATCATGTTTATTAAGCTCACTACAATCTTCGTGTATCGCTTTGACGACTGTATCAGATTTTCAGTAATANAAAAATTAATATTTCAAATGGTAGAGTATGTACATAAAAAAAAAAATCAATCAGCATTCGTGTATAAAACTTTTATTTTTCAACAAATGTGCAACCACACTTGTCACATTGCATCATTGTGTTTACACGAATAAGCTGTTAATGAAAGGCTTGTAATAAATCCTCAAAGTCTGTGATAACTGACTTCCAGAGTCTTTTAAAATCATCGGAAGTCAGTAGAAGTCTCGTAGTTTCCAAAGTCTTGTCTTGAAACTCAAGTGATTTAATATGTATTCCTGGCGTGGTCGTCGAATCGTAGGTTTCATTTGTCATTTCAATTCAACTCTGGATTAAAAATAACTGAAAAGTAATTACGGTAATTTAAAACCTCTGACTTAACCTTGAATGTGTGCAATGTTCGTAAAATTGTCTAAATATAACATTGGAGTTTTTACCGGGACCTCGAAGCCATTAACCTTTCCCAACTGTGGATTTATCGACTAAAAACCTTTTGAAAACAGACGCTTTCGAATGTTCCTTGCAAAGTCACCAAACATATGCTGGAAGTCCATGTGCTTGGTAAGATCGCCGATTGTCTCGAAATTTTTCGAGCACCTGGTGCAGGAATGGATGTGCTGTGAGTTCATGTGACTCGTAAGATCAGCTCTCGTTGTGAAAATTAGCGAGCACGACGTGCAGAGATGGGTGTGCTTGGAGCTCATGTGGCGCTCAAGATCGCAGCTTCGACTAAAAGTGTAGAAGCACACGGTGCATCGATGATTGTTGTTCGATTTGGGTTTTCCTTTGATCATTTGGACGGCAGCCGTCAAACACGTGTTACAAAGGTAATTGTATTTAGGGTTCACGTTCTTTTGAATGTCATTGTTCCGGACGTATGGGTGCGAACACAAGACACAGTGGTAACGTCTTTTGTTCGCACCGTTAATCCCCCGCTTGACGACTTTGGACATATTTTTCGTGTGGGACATTTCTCAAAAAAGTTAAACCAGCTGGGACCTCTTGTTGGCTCTGCTGTTATTACTGAATTTTTATCCTAGCGATTAATGTCCTGTTATCTATAAAGACGTGGACAGCTTGTGGAAAAAGTTGTTTCTTCTTTTGGTGGCTAGAAAATGAGGTGTCAATTAGTTATTTTCCTCAAAGCTCTCGTGTACAGATGGTATGAACTGCACCAAACAATTTATAAATAGTTACATTTTAGAACGATTAACAATATGTTACTTAAATCTGATAATATAAATGTTTATGTCAAACGAAGCACGAATGTTTTGTAATATAAAAATGTTGTTTCCAATATTACTGTGGTACATAGTGAAATATTGTTCATAATAATAACACTCAGTCACAAATCTATAAACGGTTTGGTTTTCATAACATTGTAACTTAGTAAGACTTGTCTTATTATTTTAGAAAATCACAGCATAAAATACTCCAAGTAAACTACATCTCACAATATACATACCTTATTATATTCTGGAAGCCGTAAGCTACAGACTCAAGCTCAATCTTGTCTTGTCCAAACGTGTGCTGTTTATGTACAACTGCGCAGTATAGGCGTTGCTTCGTATTTTAATTCGTACACAAGATTATGTTTGACGACAACTGCTTACGTGGGTCATGAATCAAAGAGATGCATGCACGCACTGATTATTGAAAATCGAGTTAGAAATATCGACTAAACTAACTTATTTTAAGTGTTACTCATTGATAATAATATGTCAAACATGGCCCAATATGTGATAAAGATATTTTTATTGTATAGTTTGTGAACTGATAGTGTTAATTACATGATAATGAGAGCTTTCGTTTGTGTTAACACGTGAAAATTGTTAATTTACTAGTAAGCTACTTCAACAGATGATGATTTTTAACGGATTTTCCGTTCAATTAATGATGGAGGTATTTTCATTGTACAGATCCTGTGACCGGAAATCGATTATTTATCAAATATTTTTACCTATCTTTAAATTTAAATTAGTTGGATAATCTGAAAAAAAAACTTTTTTACTTTCAGTTTGTTATTTTTTCTGGATATAGTTAAAAATAAGTCGACACTGCAAAACGTGTTTGTAATTATTACTAATAATTGACAGACTTCACATCAACAAAATGAAAACTTGACTTGAACTGTAAGGATCGTGTAAAATACATAATGTCGAGACAAATGACTAAGTATTTTAATATTTAATTGGACTCTCTATGGAACTGGAAAAAACGCCTATACATCACGTTCTGAAATACCTTCAAAAATCAAGTCCAACTGAAATCGTGACGTGTTACAAACTATTATTTCAGTGAATGTGAAAAAGGTTAGCTGTTTCATGAACTAAAATGAGTGAAAGTATAAAATTTTAAATATTAGTCCTACTATTGGTTTGATTGCAAAACTTTGTAATTATTCGATGTTAAAGCCAATAAACTATGAACAGGTGTTTATACATACCTTTGCAGGATTGCAGTAAAAATTGTATGTTCCTATTGCTCTGTATATATATATTTGTACTCTGGTTACGAATAATTAAATAAAAAATACTGAAAAGAATACTCTGATAAATTATACAACTATGGATTTTTTAAGAATTAATAAAAAATTATTCTCTTGAGATATTCTTTGAGAAGAGAAACTCGATTGTAACACAGAATTAAATTTATTTATGACGTATACACCGTCATATTAAAAAGAGAAACTTACTACTAGATGCCTTATCTATTTGTGATATACGACACTATTTGACTTATGTGGGAACTAAAATATTGTATCACTTTCATAACAAAAGTTCATTTGTCTTCTTTCAAAGATTTTATGTATACTTCTTTACATTGTGCAAGGTAACTTTGTCCATTTTTTTTTTTTTTTTTTTAAGAAATGCAAAAATAAATAACGTTTAACATTTGATTAGGTAAATATAACAGCTTCAACATCGAACATCGGAAATGGAAAATACAGAGTTTCCTGCGTTCATAAAAATTTTTTTCCATACCCATGACACTTGAGTAAAAAAGAGCCTTCGTCATCGTGTTTACATAATACACATAGGTACAGACGGTAAAAAACATATTTAACATGACTTATTTTTGATCGAGCATTTGTAAACAGTTTTAATGCTTCATAATGACTTGTATTACAAATATTTTCAAAGTTGACCTTCCACCCATACCTGAACTCCAAAGCTATGTTTCCATGTTTAACGTGATCGATATAATCAGTATCCTTAAGAAATATATATAACATCAAAATGATCAAATTAAACTTTTCGAGGTGTTTTCAAATTAGTAAATGTAATGACCTAATTTGTCTCATAAAAAGTTCTATAGTTTCTCATAAAATATTGAAATGATTGTACGTGATCGTGTATATAGGCAACAACAAAAAAAAACAAAATAAATTGTTAAACGTGTTGAGCAAACGCTCGAGATTATACACAACGTGGCCAACACATCTCAAACTTTGTGGAGAAAATGATTAAAAAAAGTTTCATTACTGTTGTGTCGAACGCGAGGGAGAAAAAATAAAATGAGAAAAAAAAAAAAAAAAAGAAACCCTGTACTCCTCCCATACTTTTGCATATCAAAGGTCCTCGGAGTTTGTTTGCCTTCGGGTGTCATGCACACAAAGTCACTGAGAGTGAGGAACATAAATATACACACATTGGCACTCGAACAACACACGCGGGCATGTACACATGCAGACTCGTAACAAAAGCCGCTTAAGCAACGCAGCTTTAATCGAATGAGCTGCGCACCAGTTGCCTGTACACGTAGCGGATGTATATACACGTACGCATGTATGTACTCATGAACTATGCACTGACAGTGGGAGGTATAGGGGGGGGGTGGTGCGAGTGAGACAAAATCCAGAGTAAATACGGCAAGATAATGCGAAATAGGTGAGTAAACAGCTTGATCGGTTATGTAAAGCATGTGCGTCCTAAGGGGAGTAAAGGATGGAGGTGGAGAAGCGTAGATGGGATACTTGCGAGTGTACGTGTGAGGTATGTAAGTACTGCGAATGTGAACACGCTTTGTTTGAGTATTGATGCGGGGAATCTACGTGTCTGAAAGTGAAACGATATACTTGAATTTCGTATTTTATCTGCTGATCTTCTTGGGGGCGTTATAACGTTATGTTAGTTTACCCTTTGAACTTACTAATGTGAATCGTTAAAATGTGATTTAGAAAATTAAATTTGTCAACTGATTCAGCTTGGTTTGAGGCAAAAAATCGGTTTTTTACTGAAAATGTTTATTGATTCACTTAATTATTCATATTCACATGTTGAGTTGTTGAAAAAAATTTAATATTATTATTCTGAGGGTTGATTTTATGATAAAATTTTCAAGAACTAAGTTTTAAAGATTGAAGCCATACTCGGCTGGCTTGCTAATCAACAAAATTAAACATCACTTTTGAAAATTAATGGAATAGTATTACATTTGTTGAACTTGTTAACAATATTAATTCAGATTAAGAATCAAATGAAACAAATTTCGTAGCTTTAATATACTCGTGTGTAACGCTATCAAGCTACTTTGCATGATTAAATTTTGGGAACATAGTTATTCGGTATTAATTTTCAACATTTCGGACTACCAAATTTAATGACGGTAGCCATTCAATCCAGAAACAATGCAAACATATTTTATGTTGCTCAAAAAAAATTGCTTAAAATTTATGAAACAATGAAAAGTTTTTGTGCTTTCGTTCACTATACAGTTTTCACGGTGTATTATTCGATGAACCTTTAAACGACCACTGGACGGTGAAATGATTAATCACGTTTCCCGGGTGGACAAAAGGAAGTTTTCTGCGAGCCTTCAGAAACAAAGGAATAGAGAAAAAATGCGCGAGGGTCCCCAAGCCATAAAATTTAACTATCGATTAAGCCAACAGCAGAAACAAAACAAGTCCAATGCACAATAAACTCGCAAACGATTTATGCGCCTCGCGGATGAATGAAAAAGAAATGGACATAGATAGAAAATAAAAGCTGAAAAATGCGATTACTTTTTTTAATTATTCTAATAATTTCTATACAAATGATCGTCTCTTTGGTTGAAATGTTTCGTACGTCACCAGATGAATGGTAAAATAATAAAAATAGTTCAGACCAGCAAATTCTCATCATACGATCGAATGTTAACGCTTCCAAGTTCATTTGATACCACAATATCCAAACGTCTATTATCTCCCCGTACTATCAAGTGAAATAATTTTTGATTTACAAGTATAAAGAAAGTATTTTCGCTCCCACATAGTACCTCGACCCTTAAGGACTTTCTATTTATAACGCAGCTCAATTTTCGACATTTTTCAAAATCCCCTTCCACCACGTGGCTTATTCAGCTGAAGCTATCAGCTTAAATGTAGTATTTCCATTGTCGTGTCCATTGAGCCGAAAGAACTATAGAAAACTTGTTTTCAAAAAAATCTTTCAAAAACGAGAAAGAGCTCAGCTACCGCGAGGGACTTTATGATAATTATATTACACACAGGACTTAATTTTTTTGTCTTTCAATAAAAAATAATACCTCATAATTTTTGTAATACCATCAGAAAAGTCATATCATATGGTTAATTTAACATAAAGTCAGAAAAAATCAAGTAAAAAGTTAATTTTTTTCGACACAGTGTCCGTAACAAGTTTCCAAGTGACGGTTGAAGTATTATTTACAGGTGAAGTACCACTTCGATGTAAATGGCACCACCAATATCCACCACTTTTAATATGTATGCAATTTATCTGGAATGGTACGAGTGAAAATTTATATTGAATTTATACTGCTACTTGAAGAAAAAAGAATTCAATTAAATTATAATACCCACCGATGACCCAATTAAAATAAACTTAAACAAAACTCACTATTTAGACGGATAGGATAAAAAAAATCCTTTGATGAAAGTAATGAGTAGCACTTAATGGAAATATTAGCTCTGTTCTTGAAAACTAATTGTCTATTAAGGTGGTCT